CCCCGCCGCAGAGCGCCGGCCCCGGCCTGCGGAGCACAGGCGCCCGGCGGGGGCTGCGAGCGGCGAGGGCCGGGCCGCGGGGTCCCCCCGCCTCCGCCCCCTCTCCCCCGGGAGCCGCCGGTGTGCGGCCGCTCCGCATCGGGGGTGGCCGTGGGGGCGAGCGGAGGCCCCGCAAGGGGAGGGGTCCGGCAGCGCCTCCGGCACTTCTTGCCCGGGTTTATAATTCCAGGTGCCGAGGAAGGGTTGTCACGGGACTTGGATTGGCGAGGGCTGGGATGTGACTGCCCCGTGTCAGAGCCTGACCTTTGGCCCTGGGAAGGGCACGGGCTCAGCCCCTCTACGCTGCCATTCCCCAAATCACACTGACCTGTGGGTCACCTCCACCCCCAAAGCGAATCACAAAGTTTCATTGCGAGTAGAAATCCAGAATCCACGCTCCCTGTTGGTGTCATCTTAGCATTTATCTTCCTAAGATAAATGACAATTCAATAATAAAACTTGTTTTCTGGGGAAAACTGCTGCCTTAAGTTATACCTTGACTTGTATCACTATTTTACTGTATTTGCCCTGACTGTGGAGGCAGGTCCCTGCCCCCACGGGAAGGCTCCCAGGATCAAGAAGAACAGGTCCCAAATGCCCCGGAGTTGTAGCACGTAGGATATGCAGGGAACACAAACAGACGCTCCTAAAGGCGTCCCTGAGGTTCCCAAAGTGGAGAGCAACTGGAATCACCCACTCTCAGCATGAGGCTCTGCGTGCTCGGCCTCTGGGCTCAGAGGATGGAAGAATCAGGATGGAGCTTGGCACGTTGGGAACGTGTTGGGAGCGTGTCCTGCTCCTCTGTCCGGTCTGCCACTCAAGCTAATGTGGCACCGAGGTGTGACAGGGCTGTCACGTGTGCCCAGGCTGTTGCTGCCCAAGGGACGTCGTCTCCCCTGCCTCTGGTCCTCATTTTCAGGTTCATTTTCTCTATTCTAAAGGAAATTGTTAATTATTTATCAGAGTCAAAAGGCTGTGTATCCATGTAGTGGCTTGGGAGCTGTGGGTAAACACTCACTGCGTTGTTTTGGAACGACCCTTTCGTCTGAGTTGTTCAGGCTTAGGGAACATAAAATTTCTGGTGGTAACAGCTTTTAATACATTTAATTTGTTACTTTTGAAAGCTCACTGCACTGTCACTAATGCCAGGAGGTGAAACTTTGTTACCAAGAGTTCAGTGTCACCTTAATCATTACCTTCTCCAGTTTTCATAGCCATGGCTACTTGCACTTCTCATTTCAGAGACACTTAAGAATTTTTTGCTCTACAAAACCCCGGAGAAAAGCCAGGTGTGGAACAAGGTGAGGGACACAGAGGATGAGGAGGGCAAAGCAGCACATGTTAGCAAAGGGGGGAATAAATGCACCCTGGGCATCAGCTGGAGTGTCCTCAGCGCTTCCCCATGGCTTGGCAGGGCGTGTGCCGAGGTGTGAAACAACTGGAACACAGTGTCAGCACCAGGGAGTAGAATAAACACCAGCCATGAGGGACTGGAGCCCGTGGCATCCAAATCCCTTTGGACAAAGTGCAGGTCGGTGGTGTTTTCAGTGTGATTCCTCCATAATTGAGTGGATTTTCCAGCAGGTTCATGGCTGACAGTGGCTCTGGTTGGGTGCACAGGTGTGTGTGGAGATACTGAAATACCTGCTCGTGTATTGACCAGGAACTGCATCATTCCAGTGCTCCAGCTTTCCATGGAGGGTGGTTAGATGAATAAGAAGGAACTGATATCCTGTTGACTTGTTCCTGCAAACGCCTGGGAATAAGCTACTAAATCACCTCAGGACAAGCCCACCTGCAGTAGACACTAAATCAGTATAAACAGGAATTTAAAAAGTGATTTGCCTCCCCAAACCAGCTGCAGAGCCCAGGCCTAAAGTTTATTATTAACGTTGCTCAGCCCGTGTGGGCTGGCAGAGCTAAAACGGTGTTTGCCCGATAAATGCTGCGTGCCCTTTCCCACAGCGCTGCAGATCCCAGCGCCAGGAGCGGTTCTGAGCAGAGCCCAAGAGATCAAAGTCCTATTAAAAGCAACTCCTATCATTTCCTCCCCTGGGAGAGGAGTTAATTGGCAGAGGAAGCGCTCCACATGGGAATTCGGCCGATTCCTTGGACGCGGCTGCTTTTGGGGGGGGTTTCTCCCAGGGGAGGACGGGGAGCCCGTGCTCCGATGTCCCAGCAGCCAGGTGCCATTGGTGTCACCTGCTCCGAGGTAGGTTCTTCATGCGTTCGCTGGGCCTTCCTCCTGCCACTCCTCCTCCTCCTCCTCGGGCCGCAGCGCTGCTCCCGGGCACTTCCTGCCCGGCGTTGTCCCGTGGGTGGGGAGGGCCGTGGAGCGATGAGCGATGCCAGCACTAAAATAACCCTCTGGCCTCGCTCCCGCGTCCACGCGCGGCCCCTGAGGCAGAGGAAGAGCGGGAGGAAGGAAGTGAGGCCGCCTGACACAAATAACTCCCGGCCCCTCACCAGCGCCGCTGGAGCGGCCTCCCCCGCTCCCGTCCCGGCCGGCCTGGAGGGGCTGGGCCGCGCCCGGGGCCGGTGTCCCCCCGGGCTCGGTGTCCCGTCAGGGGCTCGCTGTCATCCTGTGGCTCGCTCCTCACCCTCAGTGCCCCCGGTCTCCGTGTCCCCCCGGGGGTCGGCGGCGTCCGTGCGCTCGGGGCTCCCCCGGCCCCGATCCCGCCCCACCACCGGGGGGCGCCCCGGCGCGCCGCCCTCACCGCCCCGCGCACTACACGTCCCGTCGCGCCCCGCGCGACAGGAAGCGCGGAGGCCGCGTCGCCGCGGGGCGCCTCTGGGAGTTGTAGTCCCGCCGGCCGGAAGCCACACCCCGCCGCGTCCCGGGCCGGCGGGCGGCGCGCGCGCGGCGGGACTACAAGTCCCACCCCGCCCCGCGCGCCACCGGGGCGGCAATGGCGGCGGCGGCGCCTGCGCGCGGCGCCCTCCGTGCGGACCGCGCAGAGTGAATAATAAAGGTCTCCTCGGCGGCGGCGGCGGCGGAAGGCGGGAGGCATGTCCAAGGGCCCGGTGGCGGGCGGCCCTGCCGCGGCCGGGCCGGCGAGCGCCGCCAGCGCGCTGCAGGCGCAGCCCGAGAAGCCGCAGCACTACACGTACGTAGAGCCGGGAGCTTCCCCGCCGCCGCCCGCCCGCCCGCGCGCCAACACGCGCCTGACGTCAGCGTGCGGCGCGCGCGGGGGCGCGCGGGGGGACGCGCGGGCACCGGCTGGAACCGGCCTCGGCCGGC